ACCCGTCGCGCACGGAGGATCGGGGGAGGGCTGGGAGCGTGGCCGCGGGGCACCGATGCTGCCGGGGGCTCCTCCAGAAGCTCGGAAGGACGGTCAGTCCCCACCCGGGGAAAAAGGCACAAGGCATCTCGGCCACGGCAACTTCTCGTGCAGGGCCGGGCTCGAACTTTCCGCCCGGAGCGGGCCGCCCCACAGCCCCGAGCGACCCTGCAGAATCCGCTCGGACCCGGGCGCCCACATCCCCGGCCCGGCGGCGGCGGCCAATCACCGCGCGCCTCCGGAGGGAAAGGCTGGAGGGCGCGAGCAGCCGCAGAGCGACGGCGCCGACGGCCAATGGGGAGCCAAGGTGGGAGTCCTCGCTCACCCCGCTGACCAATGGAAAAGGAGTGGCTTTGGCCGAGGTCCCCGATCCAGTAGCTGCAGGCTCCGGGGTGGCCGCGGGGTCGAAGACCCTAGGGCTAAAGGGGATTTTGGAGACGAGTTTGCTCGCCCTCCCTGTGCCACCCGCTGACCCTCAGACCACAGCCCGGTCCTCACCTGCTGGAAGCGGGGCTTGCCCAGCTGGAAAGGAGGTGCATCGGTCGAGGCGCTGGCGGCACTTGCCGCTGCCGCCGATGCTGTAGTCGCTGTATCCGCCATGGCCACTGACGCCCGCAATCTCCGGCCCTTTTAAAATGTCCCTCCTCGGCCCCCGCCACAGCTACCTCTCCGGATTGGCCATAAGCAACCGCAGCGAGCCGGAGGCGCAAGGCGTTGTGGGGAGTGTAGTTTTCCTTGGGAAGGTGCTGGACAGCCCTAGACTGCGGAGTGTTGCACCGACTCAGACCGGGATTTGGTTCCCGCTGCCGGTTTTGCAGCCCGCGGCCAGAGTGCGTGTAGGACTCCAAGGTCCCGACGAAAGGGCCACGGACTGTCCCCTCGCTGGCTTCCTGCCCCTAGAAGTTTGAGTTGCTGTGGTGGGCGTCACTCCTGGAGCTGCGGCTCAGAAGAGCCTTACTCAGCCAGGTCCCACCCGGGACCAGATGGGCCAGGACTCCAGGCGGAGTAGGGTTAATCTCCGAAGGCTTTCTGCAGGGAGTTGCACTGCGGATATTCATGCAATTTCTTCTGTCCCACCCTGCCTCTTGCCTCGTGCTCTGTGTCCACCCTGACAGTCCCTGCAGCCTGCTGTGCGCTCCCGGCCCTGGATCCTGGAGCATTCTCTACCTAGAAAACTCTTTTTATCTTAGCCTGACGCTGGCCCTCTTTATGGCCTAAGTGTAAACATTGTGTTTCCCAATCAATGGCCCTATTTCCACAAAACCCACTACATGCTCCTATAGCACGCAGCACTTCTTTTGCAGCCCTTGCATGTAAAATTATGGTTTTGAGTATCTGCCTTTCGTACTTTAAGGTCCACAGGACAGGAGTTGTGACTTTTTGATTCACTGCTAAGTCTTCAGTGCCAGGAATGGGAGAGCTCACAGCAGGAACTCAGGTATTTGTTGGCTGAGTTAAACTCAGGGAAGGCACGGTTCTTAGGAGCCTTAGCAGCCTCCACTTCCTTTTGCCAAGGAAGATCCTTCTTGGGGCTAACTCCTAGGCAGGAAGAGAACTGGGAGTGGGGACGGGTTCAGTGGTGTTCACCAAGCACTACAAGGACTTCAGGGAAGGGGGAGTACTGCAGACTGTAAAGCAAGGCACCAGCGGGGACAATGAACACAAGGGAGGAAGAAGAGGGAGCTTCCCGTTTCACACAAGACAGAATACTTGTTTCACCCTCGGGAACCCCACGTCGGGTCTCCTTGGTCTTGTGGTGAGGTGCGCGGTTGGCTCATGCCTTCTCACGCGTTTCTGAACAATGCATGATCCGTAGCTGTCAGCTCCTCATCCTCCAACGCTGGGACCACAATAAACAGACTTTCCTAAAGCTGGAGATTCTCACTGGCCATGAAGAACCGTTAGTGTCTCGGGTTGGTAGCTCATCTTTCCCAACTATACGAAGTGGCCTGAGGACAGGAATCAAGTATTTTACCCTCTGTGTTCCCCAGCCGCTGCTCTGATGTTAGCACAGGGACCATGTCATCCAAGAACGCCATCACCTGCCTTCTCCCCCAGGAAGCCTGCTTCAACGCTCATCTAACCAGGAACACAACAGAGCCACCTGCAGTCTGTGAACTTTTTATTCTTCATAAAGTGCTCGAAACATGAAGAACAAGGTCTTTATAAACAGGAGTTACATCTAGGAAGACAAATGGCAAAGCAGAACCATGCCTGCTCCCTGCCCACCCCACCTGCAGCTCTCTTCCAACTCATGGCCAGGAGCAGAAACATCCAGCAAGAACCTTGGGCTTCAACTCCAAACTTCCAAAGACATCCCTGACCTGAGCATTCTGGAGACCCACAATCAAGAATGAGTGGAAGGTCAGTGTCAGCTGGGACTGAATAGAACCCAGAGGAACACCTAGTAGAGGAGTGATCCCCTTCCCCCAGAAGAGATTCCCATCCAACCCTCAATGACCCCCCCAAAAAAAACATGACTGATGTCCTAAGTACCTGTGGATACTTCCCTCAGCTTTGATGAGTGGTCCTTAAGGTAGATAACATTACAGGGGCTCTCCCCCATATGTGGGGCAACTCTGCTTCGTCCTGGCAGAAGACATCCCCCTCCCCAAGCAGATCTCCTTCCAAGGCCTTCCAAGTGATCCCAGAGAGTGACCCCACAGGCTAGCTCATGAAAAAGAGGCGATCAAGGAGCTCTCACCTCCTTACTGGGTCAAAACTAACTGCCTTCAGCACCTCCGCAGCCCACAACTTTGCTAAGGCAGGGTGCCCCAAGCTACCAAATGTCCCCTGCAGATGCTGTGGGGAAACCTGCTGTTTTTCTGCAAGCAAACCAGGGCTGGGCCAAAGGACAGACACTTTGTTTCAAAGTGCACTGCAGCCAAGCCAGTCAAGGCTACGGGGAAAGGGACAGGCTGGGACAGCAGGTAGTGGATAGATGGGAAGACAATAAAGGCTTTTTCCTAAGTATAGGCAGAGTGGGACCTCCCACTACCAGAAAGTAATTTTCCCCCAGGAACCCCCTCAATTGGTGCTGAAGGAGTAAGAGAAGATAGCAGGTAGGCAAAAGGAGCAGCAGCAGCTTGGCCGGACCCTTAACTGAAATTAACTCTAGGGGAGGGCAGAGCACACAAGAGGGCTGCCCCAACCTCCATTTCCATTCTTAGGGTCCTGCCAGATCCAGCCCCATGTGCTCAACAGGGAGGGAGAGGGGCGCCAAACAGGGGGCAGAGTCTACATCCAGAGGCTCTTGACTCCACCCACAAAAGGCACATTTTAATCAGGTTCCAAAAGTTCAAATCCTGTAGCAGCACAGAGTTTTGGCATCTGGACAGGCAACAAGAACAGAGATGGAGGCTTGATCCCCAAACATAAACAACCCAAAGCCCCGAGGCCTGGGTGGCCCACACCTTGGAGGGGCATGAGGAGGTGGTCTCTCCACACTTGCCCCAGCTCTCCAAACATTTACACAGGACACTCATGGACAGGTCAGAAGAGGAGCACAGGGACCGGCACATCACCTTCCTCCATCCATACCACATCTGCTCCTCAAACAGCTAGAGACAGACTCCGGACATGGCAGACACGACACTAGACCATACAGGCTCCTTGCTTTTGGGGGAACTGACATGAGGTTGAAGAGTAGGTGCCCTGGTCACATACAAATGGGCAACCTGGTTCCTGCCACAGCCCTAGTAATACTAGGAGCCGTCCAGGGGCCGGAGGGAGATGAAGAGGACACGGTTTAGCTGTGAAAGAAATGGCTGACCATCCCTGTAGGGCAATAAAGTATGTCCCAGATACCACATCAAATTGCAGCTCACCCCTGCTCTGTCTTGAGGGCTAAATTCATTGTTCCAATTTCTGGAGCCCCCAAAGCTAAGGGGTATGAAAACAGGCAGGTAGGTGAGACCCACCTCTAATAAGAGTCCAAAGGCCCTCCTTCCAGCAGCCCCAGTTGAGGCAGGAGGGAGGGAGAGCAAGGGGTGAAAACAGAGGACAGACTGTACCCTGCCCCAAGTGAGTAAGTTCAGCAGGAGTAGGGAGGGTGTGAGCCCTGTTTGAGCAACCCTCCCAGGGGGTGGGGGTGACGAGGGCTACTTGGGGGAGTCAGGGGGGATCTGCAGCAGTGTGGGCGAGGTCTCCATGATCCGCACCAGCAGCCGGTCAATGTAGCTCTCCAGCTCCTGCACGTGCTCGTCCCGCTGGCTCAGCTCCCGCTCCCGCTGCAGGAGCAGGCTGATGAGTTCATCATGGGTCAGATGGTAGTACTTGGCCGACTGGTCCAGCACACCAGAATCCTGAGGTCAGATGGAATCAGAGTGAGCCAGGCACCCTCAGGCCTACCTGCCTGCCTCCCCACCGACACCCCAGGCCCCTGAAGCTGTGTGTCTCCAATGCCAGAAATGGCCTAACTGGCTTCAGGGCTATGGCATGTGAGACCAGACCTGCTCCTTGCTCCACCCTGCCCAGCACCCTGTTTCTAAATTCAAGACACCTGACCTCTCTCCCCAGCACCACATGTCTGATCTGATCTCCTGTGGCATCATGCTAGGCCTCACCTTCAACCTCTTGGTGTCCGCAGTCTGGCCAACCTGGGAGGCCGGAGCCACAGTCTGAACGCTGCCAGATGTGACTGTCTTGAGCTTCTCCAACCCACTGCTCAGGGCTGTGCTCAGACTGGAGCGGGACTGCTTCCTGTCAGGGCTGCCCTCCACAGGGGCAGCACTGAGGGGCTTCACAGGATGGGGACTGTGGAGACAGACAGGAGATGCGTTATGGGGAGGAATGGGCAGCACAAGGAAAAGGTGGGGCCACAGGTCTGCTGAACAGAGACCCACCACTTGGTGGTGGCTGCCCCTATACAGCCAAGGCCTCAGAGCAGCATTCCTCAGCACCCCACCCTCTGTCCCCTCCCCATTTCTCTCCCTCAGGTGACCCCACCCCTTCACAGGGACAGCAGAGGCCTCCTACAAACTTCTCTGCACCTATTCCCAGTCTTTGCCAAGGCCACCCCCTCCACCCATCTTCCCTCCATCCTTTTGGGTATTGTAACCTTCCTCTGGTTGGGGGGTGGGTAAGTAACCCTCCCAGTTTCCCAATTTTCCCAGGACTGTGGGGATTCCTAGGAGGTGAAACTTTCGGTGCTAAAACCAGGAAGGAGCTGGGCAAACTGGGACACTTAGTTGCCCACCTCTCTCCACTGGTTGCTTCCCCTCAGCATTTACACCGGCCTGAAAAACCCTCCTTTAACCTTGTGTCTGCCCGGCTACCACCCTCAGCCATCCCCCTCTTCTTTCTTCTCACCAGGCCTCTCTGGAGCACGGACACTATATTCTGTCTCTACAAGTTCTTACCTGCACTGACTCCTCAACCCACAGAGCAGGATGTCAGCCCCCACCAGCCCATCACAAGTGTTCCTGCTGAGAACCCCCAGTTCTCACCTTCCTGACCTCTCTGTGGAGTTGACTCTTGGATACTCCTTCCTTGGGCTGCTCTCCTCCCTCTTCACCCCCCTCCCCCCCCAAGCCCTTCTCTGCTTTTCCAACTTCTAATAGCCCCTTCTCAGTCTTAAACGCATGTCTGCCCGAGAGTTCGCTCCCCTCCACCCCCTCACAGCCATCTCCAGCCTAGACCTCAGCCCTGAGTTCTAGACCCATGAAGACAGTTTCAGGCTGGCTTACTCCACTTGGGGTCCACCCCAGGCACATCACCCTCCCCTCCATGCCTGCCCTTTCCTGTGCTCCCCAAAGGTGAGTGGCACTATTAGCCTGCCATGGCTCTAGTCAGAAACCTGGGAATCTCTTTGAATCCCTCGCTTTGGCTTTAGCCTTAACAACCTTCTTACCTACTCTCATCCCACCCCCTCCTCTCCAGCAAGGGCTCGCTAAACCTTCCTCCCTCTGGCCACAACTGCTGAGTCAGCTCCTTGGTGAAGTCCTGCCCACCTCCAACCACCCTTCCCAATACATGTGCTGTGGGATCATGATTTCAGCCTCCCTCTCAGTGTCAGAAAAAAAGTCTCTAACACAACTGGCCCCTGGCCTTTCCTCCTGGCCCTCCGCCTGATACACTCCAGCCAGAAAACAGGCTCTCCCTCACCTTTAGGTGCTTACAAAAGCTGATCCTGTCTGGAATGCTGCCCCTTCGCCTGTGGGCTTGCTAACTCCTACTCAGGTTTCAAAGTGTGCAAAACCACTGCCTCCAATAAACCTTCCTGATTCCCCCAGACTGACTAAGATGTCCCTCCTCTGGGATCCCCCAGCACCATGTACCTGTGACAGTTACCCAAATTGCAAGCAGCATGCCCCTGACTCAGTTAACCTACTCCTAAGGGACCTCTGAAAAATTATGTTTACTTCACAGATTCGGACCATTAGAGAGTAGGAAGCAAAATAGCAGAGGCCAAGGCCCTGGAATCCACTGAAGACAGGCTCCCCCACATCCAGGAAGTCCACTTTGTTACTCAGGAGAGGCCATGGACTCAGGCTCACAGCCTGGGAAGAGTGGCAGAGAGCCCAGGCAGGGGCAGGCAGCAGGGAAAAGAACACATCTCAGGCTGTCCTTCCCATCCAAGAGTGTGCATTAGGGAAGGGGGTGTAAAAGCAGCTCTAATACCACCTGTGGGCTGTGCTGGGGGCAGGGAGGAGTCCCAGGGAGTTGTACAAACACCCTGAATGAGGGCCAGGAGTCCTGGGCTCCTGGTCTGATTGCCCTCCTGCATCTGAGGGACCCTGTACCCTGGAACTCTCATGGACTCCATGTCCCCATCTGAGAAATGGGGACACCTCAATTTGGCCCATCTACTCCATGATCTAAGGAACATGACAAGCACAGGCATGAAGCCAACTATGAAGAGAATGAGACTTGTAAAAAGTGGCAAGTGTAAGCAGAACTGCTGGAATACAGCAGGGCCAGCTGAGGACACTGGGAAGCTGTACCCACCTCCTCTCCCACCCCTGGGAATGGCCTCACCACCTACCATTGCAGCAGCACCCAGGGTAGCCCAGACTGCTTCCCATCCCTTCTCATAGACCAGCCCTGGCCCCTGGGCCTTCCCTTCATGCTTCACTTCCAACTTCTGCACTGGGTTGGAACTCCCTGGGACTACAGCGGGGACAACATCTTTCATTCCTGTCAAGTGTCTGGCACACACTGGATGCTCAGTGAATTTGGAGAACTGAATGCAGGAGCAGGGGGCTGGGCCTCCCAGAGGCCAGTGCTGGAGCCTGCCCTGCTCATCAGAGACAGTGGCACCTCTGCTCCCCTCACTGCTTCACTCAGGTCCCCTAGAGTGCTGGCACCCTCTGGACTTTGCTGCCCCTGCTAAATCACACCCTGTCACCCCCCAGTGACCTGGATACCCCTCATCAGCCACCCAGTAAGGTTGCAGCCTCATAATTCTTCCAAAACAGACCAATGCCACAGTGACCACAGTCACACAGGCAAACACTGTCAACTCAGCACAGTTCCAAGCGCCTGGGGACCACCCCAAAGGCACAAACACAAACCACTGAAGCACTGGTGAGGCTAGAGAGGCTTTCTCCTGAGGGTCACACATGTGGGAAGCATTTATTTTTTCTTTTTTTCCTCCAATGGTATCTCCGCCTTCCTCTCTGTCCTCTGGCTCTCTGCCTTCACAGCCTCTTACCCTGGGGCCTGGGGCAGAGGACTGTTGCAGAGGATGGGAGGGGTGGGGAGTGTATGACAAGCTTCACTGTCCCTGGCCCCAGTGGCTAAGCACCCTAGCTCTCATCTCCCTTCCCCTGCTGACTGGCATTACCTCTCCCCACCCCATTCATCACCCCCTGCGTTTCATCAGTGTTGTCATCCCCCAAAGTCCTGGTTTGTGGGGGACACCTGCTGGTCCAAGGCCCCAAAAAGGAGGCAGTTTCAGAGCCGGTACCACAGAAGGCTCATGTCTTCAAAGCCACCCACCTCTGGAGGGGCTGAGGCTGAACTGTGAACATCTCAGCCCTTGGACTGCATTGCCCCCTTCCACCCCCTTCCTCCTGGACAGTGCTATCGGGGTGGCTGCTCACCTGGCATTGGGCTGTGGCTCCTCAGCTGGTCGTGTCTCCAAGGGCAGAAGCACAAGCGGGGAGGCTGGGGTGGCTGCAGCGTGGTCCTCCCCAAGTGGGGTGGGGGAGCCCCCAGGGGGGGAGGCTGGCTCCCCAGAGGGCGGGGAGAAAGAGGTCAGGGGCCAGGCTCCAGGCAGAGGACAGCACGGAGAACTGGGCCCCTCGGGGCAGTGGCTGGCCCGGGGTGGGAGAGGGGGCGGTGGAAAGGCAGGCTCTGGGGGTGTGGACAGCTCTTCTGATCCAGAGTGAATGGAAGATTCCCTGGACTCTGGAGGGGATGTGGACGGGAGGCTCGGGGGATCTCGGCTCCCCTGAGACAAGAAGGGGTTCAAGGCATCCTTCTCCAAAGCCCACATGTCAGGCTGTTGGGAGCTGCCCAGCAGGGGCCCCAGCCCCTCTCCTGCTGGTTCCTGGCTCTGGGGCTCAGAAGCCTCCGGACCTTCTCCTCTCTCCAGAGCTCCCCAGATCTGCTGGCTCTGAAGAGCCAGGCTCTTTGAGTACGAGGATATGGGGACAGGACCCTCAGGGCAGCTGGCGGGCAGAGATAAACAGGGCCCAGGCACAGGAGGGCTGGCATCCTCCACTGGCTCTTCCAGGCTTGGCTCACCCAGCAGGGTTCCAGAAGAATAGCTGTCAGACTCGGAGCCTGGCTCCTTGCTGTCCTCCTTGGCCTCCTGGGGACCAGCAGCCAGTGCACTTGGGGAGGAGTCATCTTCTCCTGTCTCTGCCCCCCTGCCACGCAGCCCCAGGGTGGCCTTCTCCTCCGCCTCCTCCTGGTAATCGGAGCGTATGAAGAGGCGGGGCGGCTTGGGAGGCAGCGTGCTGGGCTGCAGCCCCTTGTCCAGCGTCCACTCGGGTTTGGGCTCTGGCTCTAGCTCCTCCTGAGGAAGCTCCTGGCTCCCCTTGGGGCTCACAGGTTCTGGTGACTCTGGCTTCCCCTGGGGAGGGGGCAGTTCATCAGACCCTCCCTGTATGACTGGGGAGGACATCTCAGCTGCAGGAGAAAGGGTGACCACATCCCAAGGCCAGGAACTGTCGACTGTATTGAGCTCCTGCAAAAGCTGGTTTTGGCCTCTGGGGGGCTCCTCATCCTGGCCCTCCGGGGTGTCGCCTGGGCCGGGCAGCCTCTCCCACACACTGATCACTTCTGGGGAGCTGAACAGAGATGCGCCACTGTCTGCTGGACTCTGCCCTGCTTCCCCTCCTGGGGCCACCAGCTCCCTGTCTGCTTCAGAGGATGAGGCTTGCGGGTGCAAGGCTGACGCAGAGGGCAGGCCGGCCTCTACAGACCCCAGAGGCCCTAGGTCGGCGGCACTCAGGCTCTGGTCGTCTAGTCCCAAGTCCAGAGGAACCCTGGGCTCCGGCCACTCGTTGCTCCCACCTCTTCCTCCTCCCCCTGGGTCCCCCTGGGGCTCAGCTGCCTCCACTGTCATGGCCCCAGGGCCTGGGTCTTGCAGCCCAGTCGCCTCCAGCCCCACTCCTGCAGGGGCCAGGATCTCGCTCCTGGCCTCTGGACACAGCCTGCTGGCAGCAAAGATGTTGAAGGTGTCGTCCCACTCAGGCGGGGCTTTCCCAGGGGAGGCCAGGGGGGTGGGGCTGGCCCTGGAGGCACTGGGGAGAGAGGGAGCAGGTGAAGGAGAGTTTAGTGCTATGTTGGCAATGAGTTCCTCGAAGAAAGGGTTGCTCTGCAAGGAGGTGAGGAACGGGTTGGTGAGACCCAAGAATCCAGATGGGGTGGCTTCGGGGGCGGCGGCGGTGGTGGCAGCAGCAGTGGCAGCAGCGGGGGAGGCGGCTGCAAAAAGGTTAGTGCTTAGCATGGGAGCAGCGGTGGGAGCAGGAGTGGGGGGGGCCGGAGCACAGGGGGAGCAGGGGAGGTGGTGAGGAAGAGCAGCTGGGTCAGGTTCTACCTGAGGAGACACGTCCAGGCTGTGGAGGGAGACAAAACCGTGAGCCTCCTGGTTAATGCCAAGACTGGAAACGCCCCTGCTGAGTACCACGCCCCCTGCCCCCCACCTGGGGGAGGTGCCACAGGACGAGGTGTCACATGCCACACAGGCTGGGTTCAGGCACATGTGTAGGCCAGGGGACAGAGGGAAGACCCAACATGTGACATATATTAGGCACCATCCAAGGAGGAAGATGCTGAGCAGAGTTCATTTAATCCTCACACCAACCCTGGGAAGCAATAATCCCATTTCACAGGCAGGGCCCCAACCTAAACCAAGTGTTCTTTCCACTATCCCATGCTGAATAGTCTACTCAACACCAGGATTATTCCTGACGAACGACCAGAAAGTGCCTGACACCCTTCAAGGACTGGCTTGGAGGGACAGAGACCAGAGAAAGGCCAGCCTAGGTATCTGGCTGGACAAAGCAGCACTACCAGAGACATGTCTGGCTTCTGCTGACCCCTCATAGAAACAGGAAGTAATCATGGGCTGTTGTCAGGCAAGACAAGGTGTCAATACATAACTGTCCAAGAAGGACAGAGAGTCACTGCCGAGGACATCTACTGTCAGGCGTCCACAGGGACCGGCACCAGCAGACAGTGCCCCATACCAACAGTATCCCGTACCAACAGTCTTGAAAGTGGATGGGGAGACAAAGGCTGGAACATGGACCCAGAGGCAGTAGCAGCAACTCTGGAAATCACTCGGGACCTCCTGGGGTCCCCCACACAGACCCTTGGCTCCCCTGGGAAATCCATGCCATGGTAGTGAACCTACACGCCCCAAAACCCTAGAGAACAATTGTTGGCCTGCACGTGTCCTCTCCAGAGTCCTCTGTGGGAGGGGGCATCACCTGCATTTACACCTGGTCTACAGTGTGCAGCGAACTTTAGGGAGGTGGGCAGGGGCAGACTGAAACTAGAGCTCTCAGTTTCCCAGGACACTGTCTGAGCCCCATCTTCCAGCTTCCACTCTAAGCCCCAAGGCCCCAATTCCTTGACCCGTGCCCAAGTAAACACATCCTGGGAACTCCTACACATTCATCTTCTCCACTCAAGTTGCTTCTCCCAACAGGGAAATCCTGGGGGTGAGCCACGAGCTGACAGAAGTCAGGCTTCCTCCGTCAGCCCACAAGGGCTGCAGAGTGGGATAGAGGGCTATTTAGGGAAAGAGGCCAAGAAGTCTGGAGCTTACCAGGACTCTTCTGAGAATCAGGGCCCCGGACAGAGCAGGCCCCACACAGAGCTAGGCAGAGGCAGGGCCAGCTTGTCCAAACCACCATGGGCAGAAGACGGGAAGGAATCAGTTCAATCAGCAGCAAAGGTGGGCTTCCCAACAGTCTGCAAGCCTGTGAGCCCAGCCTCACAGGCAGCACATCCAGTTCCCCACCCCCTGGGTTTCTCCTAAGAATCCAGCTTCCAGAGACTCTCCTGACCCTATTTTTGCCCTACAATAATTCCCCATCCAAGGGCAGATTCTCAGTCTCATGGTACAATCTAGAGATGGAGGGAGAGGAGATTAAAAAGTCCCTTCTACTCCCACCCTATTGGGCTTCCCAGCACCATTCTGCCTCTATCTATGGTCACAACATGGGAGAAAGAGAGAGAATCCTAGGCCCAGAGTCCCAACCAATGCAAACATCCCTTCTCCCTTCATTTCAGGCAGGCCCCAGGGCCAACGCACACATGCCTACCTTGGGGACCAAGGACAGCAATGTACCACCACTCCGTGGGTCAAGACCCTGCCTTGAGGTGCTCCCCACTGGAGCACCCATAAAGGATGCAGCCAGCCCTGCCAGCAGGCCTCAGTGCCCCAGAACAGGGCTGGGGTACTTTGAGCCACCTCTTTCCCCAGTCTCCTTTATGATGAGTGGCCAGAGAGACCTAGGGGACAAGAGCTCCATCAACATTAAACAGCATAAAGCTCAGCCCCAGTCTGGCCCCACTCACCCTTGCAGTTTTGCTGCAGTCTGGCTGCAGTCTGAACTATAAGGTAGCAGAGCAGCAAGGAAGTAGGCTGGAGCCCCAGGCTAGGCTGGCAACCCCCTACTGGCTCCCCAGAGGTATATACAGACCCGTTGGTATGGAACCAGCAAACAGCTCTCCCTGGAGTAAGGAACTCCAGGTGCCAGGCCCAGCAGGCTCCCCAGAGCTGGACAGGCTCCCTCTAAGAGCATCCTGTATATCCCTCCTATGTAGCAACAAACCGTTCCCCCACACCTCCCTCGCCCTCGCTCCACAAGATGCACATTCTAAAGATTCTCACTTTGAAATATCCCCTCCCTTCCATTCCACCTGGCACAGGTCAGAGACACGTTCCCACATGTGGTTAGCTTTGCAGGTTATGCTCTAAAAACAGACATAAACACCTGCATCCCAGAACTCACAGTGCCAGCCTAGCACAGTGCCATGCCCCTGCCAGGCAGTGGGGCTTCAACATATGCTGATTCGCCTTCTCTTTTAGGATCAAAAGTTGGGGAAAGAAATGATAAATCAAAGGGCTCTGCCCCTTCAAGCTATGGAAATAAAACTTTAGGGCCTGCGGAAACTTTGAACAATTGGTTCGACCTGCCATTTAACTCAGGAATCACCTGCTCACTCTATTAGCCCCTCTTCTTAAGCACTGTCACTGGGCAGCTCACTATACCACTGGACTGCCTCTGTAGCTGGAGGTCAGAATTCACTGGTGGACAGCTCTTCCTTTGGCTGAGATCAGCTCTGTGTCCTTTTACTTCCACGCACTGATCCCAGAAATGGCATGTGGATCTGCAAAGGCTCTCCACCAGGCAGTCCCCCAAAAAGGCCAAAGCCAGCCTTTGAGGCATAACCGCCCCCAGCCAACATGCCCTTCAACCACCTCTCCTAAGACATGACCTCCTGTCATCTGTCTGAGATGTGCCCGATGGTCAAGAAACATGTCTGGGAGACTGGACATATCCTCTGCCATCATCTGGGCACAACAAGGTGACATAGTGGGGCCTTGTGAGCTGAAGGGAAACCATATAATTTATCTTCCAAACCAGAACATTTTAAATATGCTAAAGAGACTATTAACTATACCAGGAAAGCAGGCACAAACAGGATGCACAGCCACATTAACTCTAAGTCACTGGGCACACAGCATAGTTACTCATTTACTCCACTGAGAATGCAAGCTCTTTCGGTGACCACTGCACACTCCAGGCTCATGAGGACTTTGCCCACCACCCCGTGAGGGGCCAGGGCAGAGGCAGAGATCGTGAAAGGCCACAGTACACATGCCTCTGTGCTGTACCACACTTACCCCCAAGTAAAACCATGTTTGCATTCACCACTTGCTCCCCTACTGTGCACAAAGTTCTATGGTCAGTGTGATGGGAGGAAGGAAAGGGGACAGAGTGATCTGCCCTAGAGAAGCTGACCTTCTAAAAGGATTAGAAAGGGAGGAACAGACACAAAACAAGCTGCTCTGGAACTGGCAGCGTTAACACCCATTGTCTTGATGGTCCTAAACATGCACTAAGTAGCCTATGCTGCAGCTCAAAATGAATGGCTCACAGCAAGACTGGTGAGTGGGGATGTGTCCAGTGACCCAGATGGGGCTTGGTCTCCATTACCAACTCCTCCGGACACACACACACACACACACACACACCACACACATACATAGGTAGGGAGGGGCCTAGTATAACAGCCATGGGAACCAGCAAACAAGGGGCCAGGTCAGGAAGAACAGGAGGACTATCTTCTCAGCCCTTCACACCTTTGTTCTGCCTCTTCTAGCCACTGCCTTCTCCAACAGCAGCAGCTTTTTTCTGGATTCTGTGTGCCAGAACCCATACCACTTCAGGCTCTCCATGGGGCATCTGTGCCACTTGGGAGCACTAGAGGGCGCCGCTGCCCTTCCTAGTGAGGAACACCCAGCAGTCTGCAGCTGCAGCCCCCAGGGCAGAGTCACCCCAAACCTCTGGGTCTGTGAACAGGCTCCCTGTGCTCCCAGCTGGGGATTCTGCAGCTACATTCAGTCAGTCCAGTTCTAGGTGTCTAACCTACAGCTTCCTGCAGTGAGTCAGCTCACCTCTCCTATTCTCCTCAGCAAGCCCTCAGCAAGCCTCCTGGGTAAGCACCAACAGTGGTTTTTTTCCAGGCCAGCCTCCTCATCTCAAGGCACACAGGCTCAGGGTGATGCTGACAGAGCTCAATGGCCAGGTTCCAAGCCTCTCCTGACCAAGGAAAGGTCCCTCCTGCCCTGTGCGGACACAAGGCCACAGAGCCTGCCCCGCACATGGGCCCTAGGGAGGGCAGGAATGCCCCGGGTGCCCTCCAACCAGCTGAGGACAAGCTCAGAATTCAAATATTAGAAGAACAAACATCTTAGCTTCCTTATGTTCATCAGTGACCCAACTTCTCTGGACTCTCAAATGCCGTTAGGAGACATGAGGAAGGAAAATGGATGCTGCAAGCAGAAGCAGTGACATCCCCAACATCACTCAAAGTCATGGCCTGCAGGTGTCTAAGCCCAAAGCCTGGGCAAGCACCTAGAAATGACCTCACAGAGAGATGTCCCCCTGGCATCTGTATTGCCCCAGAAAAGGCCCAGAGACACCCCATAGATGACAGCACTAAGCCCATGGTCTGTGCCCCTTCTGACCCAGGCCCTGGCAGATGCCATCTAGGTCTTCTGCCACCTCCCTCTCTTCCACCACCTACAAAGATGTCTGAGTTGTCACAGGGCCACCAGGCTTATCCTGGGTATCTGAGAAAGGCCCATCCTTTCTTCCTGATTTCCCCCTAAGCTATAGGTGGTCAGAAGTTCCCCTGTGCTCTTATGGGAGGGGATGGGCAGCAGGGACTGAGAGGATTTACTGAGCAGGGGAAGCAAAGGGTAGCATCATCTAGAGGCTGATCCACTCCACATACCTGTCTATGAGGCCACCAGCTGGCCAGGGTCCACACAGAGAAAGGCCTTGCATTTTTCTCCCTATTCCCCTTAGCAGACTCACAATTTCACAGGGAAAGAGAAGAACCAGGACCTCAGGCATCTTCTCCCTCTGCTGGGAAGAGGTTTAGGGATCTTCCCTCTACCCTATCACTTGACCCTTCACCACTGTGCCTAGCCTTCCCACCCCACCTCCTGCCCCTACATCCATGGAGGGGGAGGAGCAGGCTTGCTGAGAGAACAGAAACTGTTGCCCTTGCCACATGGATTAGGGCTGCCACAGATGCTCCTGTCCAGCGCTGGCCTCAGGCCCTTGAGAATGGGGAATACATGCGCCTATGGCCTAGGCCTGGAGCCCCACCCTGGGCCTGCTGGACAATGCAGCAGCTTTCAAAGGCTCTGAGTTAGAAAAGGCAAAAGGGCCAGAGTGGTGGTCAGGGGCTGTGATACTGTGATTTACAAGAAATATGTATTTCTCATATATATGTGCTCATCCACAGCTTCCAGTTCCTGGATCACAGCTTCCAAAACTCTTGAAATTTCCTGAGTGATAGCAGCAGTGGGAGCATTTTTTGTTATAATATTTGGTCTCCTGTCCTCAGTTCCTGAAAACACTTCAGAGCGACAAAGGTGATATGCGTGTCTATTATTCACAACAAATCCTTTCAATACAACCGGGTTTATGTTAATCAGGTGAGTTTTGGAAAGCACCTAATGGGGGGGCTGGTTGCCAAGGGAACCAACCATATACAGAGGGTTGGAACTTTCAGTCCCACCCCCAAATTTCTAGGGGTGGGGGGCTGGAGGTTGAATCAATCCCCAATGGCCAGTGACATAATCACTCATACCTATGTAATGGAGCCTCCACAAAAACCCAAAAGGACCGGGAGAGCTTCCTGGTTGGTGAGCATGTGGAGATTTGGGGAGCGTGGCTGCGCTCAGAGAGAGCATGGAAGCTCTGTGCCCTGTCCCCATATCACGCCCTGTATATCTCTTCTATCAGCTGTTCCTGAGTTACAGACTTTTATAACAAACCCGTGATCTAGTAAGTAAAGTGTTTCCGAGTTCTGTGAGCTGTTCTAGCAAATTAATCCAACCCAAGAAGAGAGCTGTTGGAGCCTCATAGATACAGCTGGTCAGTCAGAAGCACTGACTTTTGACTGGCGTCTGAAGTGGTGGGGGAGGGGGACCTGTCCTGTAGGACTGAGCCCTTTACCTGTGGAATTTGATAATATCCTCTGAGTAAACAGTGTCAGAGTTGAGTTGAATTGTAGGACACCCAGCTGGTGTCAGAGAATTCCCTGGATGTGTGGGAAACCCACAAACCCCCACAATGGAACTGAATGCATAATTCTAATTGGTATCAGAACCCTCATAGGAGCTCTGTCCAGGGACTGAGCTCAATAAAGGACTCCTGCATCCCTCTTTTGCATGGGAATAAGCACATTCAAAACAAAGATGCCATCATCAGCACTTGCCATACCTCGAGACCAAGAGACCCAGAGAGGGCCAGAGCCAAGGGTCTCCATGGACAGAGGGTAGGTTACAGATTTTGGGGGAGCTGCCCACAGCCTCTTGCCAGGGCAGGGTAGCAACTGGAGGTTGGCTGTATGGGGGGGTAGGCGCAGGCAGGGAGGCATCAATTACTTCACTTCCCTCTTTGGGGGAAGAGACCAAGGACCAGCTGGGGCAGCTGCAGGGAAGTAGGCTAGCTTCAGGGAGGGTGGGGAAAGTCAGGTGTAGTCGCCAGTCCCCACCTCTCTACCTGCCAAGGCTTTCTTACCTTGAGGCCAGAGGGCAGGAGGTGGAGGTTAGGAACAAAATTCATACAAATGGCCTTCCTGTTCTTCTTCTATTCCTCCCCCTCTCTCAGGGGGTGGGTGCACCAACTCATGAAGCAAGGCCCACCACTGGAGAGTTGTGCTCAATCCACGGGGCCCTCAGAGCACTGTGCCCTTGAGGCTCACCTGCCTCCAAGTGCAGACAAAAAGCCTTGGCTTAGGGAGAGCCCCACTCAACCATGCAAAGCCAGAGCCCCAGCAGTCTGCCGAGGGCCCCATCATCAGCTCCACCCGCCCAGCCCCAGATCCAGGTTGCAAACACCCCAGCATTCTCCTCGAGGAGCAAAGCTAGTTTTGCCAAGGACGTACCTGGGTTTCTGAGTTGGTTCCTTGGCTTCCCTCAAGCCAAACCAGCTACTCTTGACCTTTTCCTCCCCGCTGGATGAATGATGGGGGGAGGCCCCCGGGGTGGGACCCCCCTTCTCCCCCAGAGAACCGCGGCGCCCCAAATCACTCCGACTCAGCCCCTGGTGGTGATGGTGGAAGAGGCCCATCCGGGGCTTCCGCTCCTCCTTCCGGGCTCCTTCCTTCTCTGCCACAGCCTCAGAGGAGGCCACCATGGGTGTGGCCACCTGCACTGGCTTCCCCTCTTGGAGTCGGGCCCCATCCTCCTCTCCAGAGTGGCTGGCCTCAAGGGCCAGGGCTTTGGCCTGAGTGCTCGGCTCCTCTGGTCCAGGCACTGCCTCTGAGCTGTTGGCGCTGCGGCTGCCTCTACCCCAGGAGTCATCTGCAGCCCGAGGTCCCTCCTCAGAGGGCCGAGAAGAAACACTGTGTAGGGAGCTGGAGGGTAGAAATGGGCCCGAGATTGAGCTGCGGTGCCGCAAGAGGCCCTGGGGCTCCTCGTTGTAAATGTGGCTCCCATTGACACAGAGAGAAGAGCGGGTGGCGGTGTCAAGGTGGCCCTGAAGGTCGTGAAGGGCCCTGGGAGGAGCAGCTCGCAACTGGCTGGCCTCGTCGCTGTGGGTCCTTTTGTGGGTGAACAACTTGGGGGATTGGGCAGCGTCCCTGCCTGAAAAGGAAGCACATGAAGGTTATCGCAGGGAAGAGAAGCCCTGTTTCCTGTCCTGGGGCCTCCCCTGCTCCCTTGATGGAAAGCCCAACCTCCACTACCCTCTGCAGTAGGTGAGGCCCCTCTCGCTCACCCCCTTCAGTGGACAGCCAGCTGCTGCGGCTGGGGGAACGGGTGAGGAGCTCGGCCCCGGGGCCCTGGTACACCAGGCTCCCACTGGCTGAGGACAGGGTACTGTCGGAGCCCAGTGAGGTGTTGGACTGGGTCAGGGACGACTTGCGCAGCTTGTTGCGGAGGAAGAAGCCTTTGGCTTTGCCCATCTTGCTCAGGCTGCCCAGCTCAGGATCCTCCAGGGCACTGCTCGGGAGGATAGCAGAAGCAGACTCCAGGTCATACTTTTTCTTCCCTTTCATCTTGTCCTTGATCTTGCTAAAGGGAGACCGTGGCTTGTCCTTTATGGACAGGTCAAACATGCTGGCGCTCAGGTTGTTACGAGTGAACTGGATGGTGACTTGGATCTCCCCACGTTCCTTCTCCTTCTTGCCTGGCTTGGAGTGTAGCTTGTACCACCTGTGAGAAGACAGGGAGGGGGGCAAGTTGGGCAGAGCTCTGGTCACAGAAGACGCAGGAAGCCTGGCCTCCCCTGATGCCAGTGACCTCATAGGGCCCCTCCTTGCCTTGGGGGCCATGACAGCCTCTCACTACAGACTCTTGCTCTGACACACAGGCCCTGCCTCCCAGGCCACAGGCATAGCTGAGAAACTATCCAAAATTCTTCCATGATGGAGAAAACCACATCTCGAACAGGGGAAGCTCCTTGGTGCTACTAGGCAGGCAGGGGTTACCACATCTAGCCCCTCCACCCCAGCACCTTCCCTGCAGCTGAGCCCTCCCCCCTACAACTGGCACTCTGAGGCCCAGAGGGGTAAGGCTGGGTCTCGGAAGGATTCTCACATCTCCAGTCCCCTGTGACAGACCTGCCACATTTTTCCCTGTTTACATCATCTCCGCTGGCCAAGTCTCCGCCAACGCTCTGCCCTGAGCCACTAGTGAGCCCAGAAAAGAACAGCTCACCCAGAGGCCCTGGGCCAGGAACACAGGAACACTAGCCCATGTACACACACCTCACCCACTCACTGACTCACCCCACGCCCCACCAGGAACAGCTCTGCCAGATGGAGGAGCAGACAAGATGGCACAAAGGGGCCTTCAGCAAGAGACCTGGGGAAGGGAAAGAGCACTCCTATCTGATGAGCGTCTACTGTGTGTTACAACGAAGTGCAGGGCTCCTCATCTCATCCCACTTACACCTCACATCAAGCCATGAGTCAGAGACACTACCCCAATTTCACAGATCAAGAGGTCGAGGCTCAGAGGTAGCCACTCCTCTGAGAACAAGCTGCCAGGAATCCAGAGAGGGGAGACACCCCAGGTTTTCATCACCCCAAAGGCCGTGTTCTTCCCACTACACACTCCCTAGAGACCCCTAACACACATGCCCAGGGTGGGTGGAGCAACCCTCCAGGGAAGGTGTGTGCACAGAGCTCCTCCTTCCTCTGCTTCCCAAGTCCTCCTCCCCAACCGCTCGGACTCCTAGGGGAAGGCCCAGAAGGAAGGGCTGACCAAGCCCATTCTGGCTGGCCACACCATATGGCATCTGTGTGGAGCACCTAGACACCTCCACAGGCCCCCTTCCCACCCCAGTCACCCAGGTCACACTCCTGCCCATCTCCACAGATGTGAGTGGAGAGACTCTGCAGAGACTGAACCAGAAAAGTCTGGACGTCGGGACACCAAGCCTAAATGATGGGGTCGGGTACAGCTGGAAAACAAGAGTAAGTGAAAACCAGGCCCCTTTCTCACACTCGCACCCAAAATGTATAACCTCCCCGGCACATAAGAGCTCAAATTAAAAATCCAAAGGATGTGTTCCAAGATAAATTGGAGGAAGTCTCCAGAATGTAGGACAAAGATGAGGCGATTATTAGAGGTCGATTCAAGGAAGTACACCACCAAACAACTGGAGAGTCAAACACGGGAGCAGAGTTGGCTCGTGTGAGTGAGGGGCTTGGGAGTCATCTCTCCCATCCACAACATAAGACAAAAGCTGAGCAACCTGGAAATCAACAATTCACATGGGATTTTAGGGCAGTGGAACTATTCTGTACGATACTGTAATGATAGATACATGTCATTACACATTTGTCATAACCCGTAGAATATAAAGCACAAAGAAGGAACCTAATGTGAACTATAGGCTCTCATTAATAGTAAAGTATCAATATTGGCTCATCAGTGATAACAAATGTAGCACACTAATGCAACATGTAGATAACAGAGAAAACGGGAGGGATTTAAGGAGTATAAAGGGAGAGCTCTCTGTACTTTCCCCTTGTTTCTCCATACACATAAAACTGCTCTAAAACGAATTTTATTAACTAGAAAAAAAGACAGAGAGAGTACGTGCAAAGAACACAAAGAGGATGAAACAAGGACAGAAAAAAATACAAGACAGTTCTCCGTAACTGAAGGACATGAACAGCAGCCTGGAAGGGCCCACCAGCATGCAGCAGGATGAACAAAGGAAGACCCAGTCAACAGGTACCATTGTGTGGCTGCAGAACACCAGGTGTAAAAAGGAGACCCTAAAGGCTTCCAAAGAGGGGAGGCAGGCTCATACGTCAGGAATTAGAATAGCATCAGGTCCTCACCAGCAACACTGGGCACCACATGGAGCCTCTAAAGGCCAAGCTCTAGTCACTTTCCCCAAACCTGGCCTAGGCCCCATTTAGGGCAGGAAGATCCTAGGGGTTGGGGCAAAAGAGAAGTGTATGGCCTCCAGCCCCAAATCCCCCAAACCCAGTAGCTGGAATCAGCAAGCGAAGCTGTCTTTTGCTGGGGCATAAAGGCCAGGGGCCCTCAGCCCCAACGGTCATTCCACACTCCACAGCATTAGCCATGGTTACCTCGGGGAAGCGAGGTTGCAAGGAACTATCGCTTCCGACACTGTCTATTTTTGCCCTGTTGGAATTTTTTATACAGAGCATATATTGCTGTCGTAACAGGAGGAAGAGACAAGAAAACACCCATTCATTCCTGTCTTATCTCCTCAGTTGCTGAGCCACAGAATGGGCTGCTCGTTGGTCCCTCCCACCCGCTCCCATGAAAGGAAGGAGGTTGTCTCACTAACCCAGGGTGAGGCTCAGGTCCCCCGCCCTTCCCAACCCTCTCCTCTATAAAGTTACCTGTGCTTGTCCTGCTCTTCCCCAGGGAATTTGGGGTTCTCTGGACTTGCTTTTCAGGGAGGCCAAGAGGAAAAAGACTTTCCTCACCATTTTCTGAGACTCCCATCCAGAGCACAGTGAGGTTGAGAATGGCCAGGACCTGCCTCTAGACCTCCAGCCACTGTCACCCAGCTATCTCCCTACCAACTTACCCTACTTCCCCCTGCCCACCAGGCCAGGCCTGACCTTCCTGGCACCTCAGGCCCCAAGGACTCAACCACAGCAGGCATTCTCCCAGGAGTGTAACCCTTATAAGCTGAGATGGCCACATCCCTCCCTGCCACCCCTGCTTCCTGCTTCTTCCTGCCTGTCCACAGGGCCCCCAACAGACCGGGGCCTGCCAAGCACTGCAGCACACAGTCCAGTTGAGGCCAGAAAGCACTGAACATTGCAACGTGAGCTAATGATCCCTCAGTGAAATGATGGAGATTTTCTCTTTAGAGTCCCGCACACAGCAGAATCCAGAGCAAACAGGCTCTGAGCATCTCATCCCTGCAGACTGAGGCTCCCTCGGGGAATGAGACAACAGAGTCCTGTGGCCCAGTTCAAGTCCCACCTCCTCTAGGAAGCTCTCTCAGCTGCCACCATCCTGACCCAGTCTATCCCTCCTCTTTCTGACCAGGCATACATACTTTAAACCTAACTCACTCTGCAACCAAATCTAGCCACACTCCACTCTGACCCCCTGGAATTGTCATTCCCAGGTGCCTGGGATCTCCCCAGCTAAACAGTGTGCCCTGTGGATATTTACTGAGCATCCCCCCAGGCACACAGCTCAAAAGTAAAGAAACAATGCCTGGCAGTAAAGCCATGAGATGTTATAAGCCCTCAGCAATTCACTGCCCACCCTCCCCCTCTCCTTTCACCCTTGCTCTGCCCACCCCTTGCCCGGAGCTCCCATATGGATGCATGTGGCAGCACATCTGGGCCCACCACTTACTGCTGTGTAACCTCCACCTACCAGGTTACTTCCCTAAGCCTCCGTTTCCCCGGCCATCCAGCGGGCATACCACCCTATTGGGGCTGCTGAGAGGACAATACACGCAAAGCGGGAGTGATGTTCATCGGGGCTTCTCACACTGCAAAGTACTAAAGGATCCCCGGGTCTGGTTAAAATGCAGATCTGACCTCGTGGGTGCAGAGGGGCCTGCAAGGACCATGCCTGGGCAGAGGGAGACATGCGATGGGCTAGAGAATCAGTGGAGCTTGTGTCATTGTGTGCTCACTGCGTGCCAGGCTCTGTGCCTCTTTCACTATCCACACAGTCCAGGAGACAGCGTCCATTCTCTCTATTCTGTGGATGAGGAATTTAACTTACAGAGGAGGTGTGTGCCTTGCCCAAGGTCACACAGCTAATAAGTGATGAAGTCCAAACTTGAGCATGAAGATGCCTAACTCCAGCCCATGCCCTTAGCCTTTCAGGTGAACCATTTCTCATCAAGCTGAATGCAAACACCTGGGCCTCCAGACACCTTGAAGGGCAGAGGCTGGAAAAGGGCTGAATGTATATCACAGACTCCAAAAGAGGCACAAAGATGGGTATGAAGACTAGAAACCTGTTCACAGGGTTGGCACAATCCAGAGAGGATGGAGCCCTGAGAGGTCACTGAGAAAACCTCTGGGTTTTGTCCTGTCCCCAGGCCATTAAAACTTTGTCTGAGAGCAGCCTCCCCAACAGCCATCAGAGTCCATAATTCCTGAGGGCTGACCATGGGAAAGCTCTTAAAGGGCCCTGCTCAGCCACGATATCTCCCCCACGTTCCTACGGCCTGACGAAGTTCAGCAGGCCCAGTGTGGACTTAGGACTCAGCCTTCAGTCTCCCGCCAGGCTGGACCCTCCCCACACACCACAGGGGCAAACGACAAAGGTGGGATGCAAGGAGTAAGGGACTTGTTGCCTCACCTGTTATCAAGACCATGGCCCTACTTACTCCTGCTAGTGGACTCCCAGGTCCACCACACCCAGCTCTCCACCTAGCTCTCTGGGCACGCAGCTGGGCTGAGTTGCCACACAGCATAACTGGAAAAGCCCAACACTGGGTGGGCCAACCTCGGGCAGACGTCAAACACAGGCAAGTGCCTGGGCGGTTCCTGTCAGAGACTGGGGCAGTGGGGGCCTTGACAGCCACAGGCCCAGGAACACCTGACTCATTTCCAGTTCTAATCAGCCCCACTTCAGCTTATGACTCAAATAACCATGGCCCTTCCTGAGCCCCCCACATGGTTTATTTCAGAACCCAAACCCAAGAACCATCTTTGTCTCTTTTTCCTCCTCACAGCCCACAT